GCATATAACTGGTGGTGGTGTTCAATTACTGTATTCAAATCCCAACTAAAAAACCTCAGATGTTCAAATCAGCTATCACCATAGTGCTCCCCATCATTCGTTTATTTTGTGTCCACTTTGATTGTCCTCTCTATGATTTTCTGCTTCTGTTTTATCATGCTCTGTTGCCTCTTAGCATTTTTTCACAAACCTAGATCACAGGTCATGTTTCATTAATTACCTAAGTGCAATGTCATATTCATGCCGTGCGTTTGCACTTCATTTAAAGTCACTGTTCATGCTCATGCGCATTTCATGCATTTGACCCAGGAAGGGTATTATACTCATGCTAACAACCATGTGCATTTCAATTCTGTATACTCATCATTGTCTCATTCTCATGCTAAAACCCATGTGTCATTCATGCATTTGACCGGAAGGGTCTGGGCTTGTGTCGAGTCAGGATATGATCATTCATGCATCATAGTAGGCCTACGCCCCAGCCCATCTCATGTTTAACTCCCGTGCATTTCATGCACTCATAGACGATAAATATTAAAGTCTCCTTCCCCTCTGACAGCTGTCATTTCAGGTGACTCGACGCAACCCTCCTCCACCCCTTTTCACCTCCTGTCCCTCTGAATCCAGGGTCAAGCTAAACCACTCCTCTTCAGACCGACCCAACTATCCATTCACCACCACCAGTGTCTAGACCCCAGGGGGGTTTCATCGGATCGGTTCTGCCCTCCCAAATGATACTTCCTGCACAACGGGGCCTAATCGCCAAAATTACCATTACATTCATTTGTGCATCTGCGCAATAAATATGTATTATTACATCAAAACCGTCTCTCCTGATTGAAGTATCCTCTCAGGGCTATGTTTTGCAAAAGGAAAACGCTGTGCAATAGCTGCAATACAAAGTAGGAGAGGTGCAAAAAATGCTAAAACTGTTTTCCTCCATGGTTAATACAATATACACATGGAATAGTTGGAAGTGTATGTCCAATATCGAAAGTTAATGTGAGTAAAGTTATTTCATAAGAGATAATTATCCCGTGAAAAGGGAATGAGCGAATCAAGCTTGAAGTTCAGATAACAAAGCCAACACATAGCATATTACTAATGAATAAAGATTATCAGTTCACTGATTAAAGATCATTCAAATAATATGTTCATGCAATCTACACAGAGATGTGACTTTTCAATGATACATTCAATTCCCTTTCTTTGAGTGAGGGTTTTTATTTTTCGACAAGAGCTCTTCCCAGGGAGCCAGTGCTTGATCCTTGACAGCCTCTGCTGCTCTCTGTGCTGCTTCCCATGCTGTGTCGGCTCCCTCAGCTGCATGATACCCTGCAACACCTCCTTTCACTGCTCCCACTGCAATAAATACTGCTGCCATCGCACCTACTACTGCTGCTCCTCCTACTACTTCTGCTGCTCCTTTTGCTGTCAACCTTTCCTTCAACACTAAGAGAACTTCTGCAACCATCGTTACCGTGCCAAAAAGAGCTCCTAACAATACACCTGTTGTAATGCCTGCCAGTTTGATCATAAGCTTGTTAAATTGTCCGTCTTTAGCTTGCTTTCTGACTTCTTCCTTTGACATGTTTCCTGATGACTGTCTAATGAGCTTCTCCTCTTGTTGTATTTGTTCCTCCACTGCTTGCAGCATCTCATTGGTGTAGCAGCTTCCTTCGTTTGCCTCTACCATCTCATCTATTGTCTTGAGTAGCTCCTTCACCTGGAACTGATTGCTCCTGTATTCATCCTGCTGGTTGTTCTTCCAGTATTTATTATCGATGACGTGGCAGCGGCCTCCGCACTTCTTCAACAGATCCCTCGCAAGCTGGTTCTGCTGGACAAAATCCTCAATTGTCTGTCCTTCTTCGAGCTGGTCACCATGAGTGAAGAGAACTGTTGCGTATTTGAAGACTTCTTCAGAAAAAAATTGGCTTATTTTTTTGATGACGGCCTCTTCTTGCACTGTGTATTTCTCCACTTTAAACACAATGAGAAAAGCATGGGGCCCAGGAGCGCACTCTATGATACACCTTATTATCTCAGACTTCAGCTCCTCCTCTGATTTATCTGTGTCGAAGAAACCAGGAGTGTCGATCAGAGTGATGCTTCTTCCATTGACAGATCTGGTTTCTGCTTGACATTTACTTGTTCCTGATTTGGCAGAACTGATTGCTTTGAAGAGTTCTTCTCCAAATATGGTGTTAGCCAAGCTGCTTTTCCCAACTCCAGTTTTCCCCAAGATAACAATTCTTCTGTCCGACTCTGAAAGAGAATAATTTCCATTAATAATACTCTATACTTGTCTTTTGGTTGTTTTTGTTAGAAGCAAATGAGCTAAATCGCAAAAAAATCCGTAAAACTCAAATAATTTAACTTACCGTCCATGTTGTCAAAAGCAAATCAAAAGTGGAGCGACTGCTAGTTGCAGCTTGTTGCTATGAGTTAACACATCTGGGCGAGGCTTCCTGTGTGCTTTAATCTGATCAAACCACATTTTACATACACGCAGGGAACATGCTGTGGATAGTTTCGATTTTCATAAAATGGCATTCTGTTCAGTGTTCCTGGACTTCCTTTTTTAACTGTAGATGTAGTCTTCTTTACTGACATACAAACCCACCAAAGGTTTTTACCCAAATCCTTAGAATAAACTGACGATGAGCTAATCCCCCCTAATTCTAATGTAAATCTAGATAACTTTATTCCACCTATTCAGATGTGTCCACAGACAAGAAAGGAATTACAGACAAAACGTCCCATCATGGCACAGATCAGGTTACCTACGTTCTAGTCAGAGTAGAGATAAAGTCAAATGTACTTTAAAAAGATTTGCTTTGTGCATGACTGTTTGCTTTTTAGACTGATTAAACCACATAGTAGTCACTGCAGAAGACTTTTCTGTTTCTGTATGTATGATGAATAAATGACAATGAATACATATTTTTTGTAACTATTATTTAGCTTTTTTTTCTGAGAATTAATCAGAATGGATATAAACAAAGTCCATTTACTCAAGTACTGCACTGAAGCACACATTTGAACTCGAGCTGAGTATTTTCATTTCACACTTCATCCTTCTACACTACATTGCAGAGGAATATATGGTAACATACTTTATACTCTACCACATAGTTACTTCACAAAATATAGGATAAAATCACAACACATTGCAACACGTTTTAAAAAGATGAATCCGCCCTACATACATACTTACGTATCCACTTATCACCAATAATAATTACTTCTACAATTGTGATAAAGTATTTTTAACGTCTAGTGTTGCAGCCTTTACAACTCACAGTAAATAATCACAATAACTCTTAACACTTACCGTCCATTTTGCATAAAAAGGAATGACTGTAGTCAGCCGACTGCTGGATGTTCTGTCTTCGGTTCTCTCGCTGTGGTTTGACTCTACTTTCCTTTTATACCAGTTTATCTACATCTGACGTACCTGAACAATAGAGTGAGTGTTGCATAAGATCCTTGTTGCAGGCCTTGATTATAACATCCTTTAAGCTGAAAATATCACACATACAAATATCTTTTTATATTTATAATTATATCAGACTCATGTAAAAACTAAAATATCAACTCCTGCTTAAACAGCATCATTTTTTTAAATTGATGTCATCAAAAAACAACTATAAAGAGTTAATTTAGAAAATAATTACAACATAAAGAAAGAACAAAATACAACATCAGGTTCAGTTAAATCATTTGTTTAATTTTTCTTTTGAAAAACAGAAAAAGAGAAAAATACTTGTTGTAGATTGCATGCTTGTGACAGTGGCAGATTTACAACTCAGCAATAAAACCAGGTATCAAAACATTTGAACAAATCAATTCTAGAGGCGGTTGTAAGCCACGTTTGGGATGCAGAGATTGGTGGAATCTGGTTGTTTTTTATTCCTTTTAAAATCCTTGTATCACTGTTAACTTACCAAGCCTCCGAAAGCGAGGAAACTTTGGCCTAATTCCAGTAAACAGGGCTTTTAAAGAAATATAATAAATAAATGCATGAATGACAGTTTCCTGATCAGCAGGTCTGCTTTTTAGGGTGGGGACTGCATGTGGTTTGGAAAGAACGGGTTGTATAGACTTTTATTTTGAAAGGTTTATTAGTGGAAACAGGCCTCTATGTAACCCTAATCCAGTTTGTGTGAACATGACATTAAAATAATTGGCCAACGGTACGGTAATCCTCCCATCCTGCATTTGCGTATTTTGACTGACATAATTTGTGCGCAGTGAAAACCATAGGTTTAGTGCAGCTATAATAAGTGGTTCCCTCTCAAATACGACTACGTTCACAGCTTTCAACACTCCTAATATGATTTAAATCAACATATCATAAATAGAATAAGTAGTCTTTTAATATTTCGTGAGAGGAGGGAGGATGGCCGCTGCACCCTTTCATATCTTTTAAAGCTGGAGTGGTTTGTCTCAGAGTGATATATCTGTTTTTACTGGCAGCATCCAACAGCATCGTACATGTCAAACACGTTAAGGTTATACAATAATACAATTCCAGTTGCTACTTTTGAGACACTCGGGAATTCAGATTAATATAAAGAGACTAAAGCGAGAGTGAGTTAGTCTCTTCAATGATGATGTAGATTTTTTTTTAAAGTGTAAAAATGAACAGCTACATAATAAAAGGCACAATCATTTACAGTGCGTTATATTGGCAATGGTTTTTCACAGTTTTCGGACAACAAAGAAACCTTATGCCACATATTTGCAACTCATCTTTTGTTTTGGTTTGTTCACCTACATTTTTAACAGCACATTTATATTGTTTTATAAAAAAATACATTTAAAAGCAACTTATCAGCTGCTTTATTCTTACATAATACATGAACAACTATTTGACCTTTCTGATTATTTCTTTGTACCAGAAAAACACTTAGCAATGTTTTTACAGAAACAAATGCTACACTTTAACATATTGAAAAAAGTGTAAAAAAAATAAACATCCCTTGGCAAGGGAATTATCAACTTAAGTTTGAAGCTAAGACAAGATGTTCAACCTATTACATATTACTTATGAATACACATTATCAACTCAATGATTGAGCATCATTTAGGAAAATATGTTCAAGCAATCTAAAGGCAGACTTTATATTGACACATTGGATTGCCCTTCTTCGATTCATCGCTTGTTGAAGGTTTTGACTTTGTCTCATCTTTCAAAAAATGTCTTTTAAATTATCCAATTTGAACAGGACATTACAGAAATAGAAGACGGAAATAAATTCTTGAATGACAGTTTCCAGATCAGCAGGTCTGCTTTTTAGGGTGGTGACTGCATGTTGTTCGGAAAGAACAGGTTGTAAAGAATTTAATTTTGAAAGGTTTATTAATGGCAACAGGCAAATAGGTTTTGGTAAGCCTTGTTTGTATGAACATGACATTAAAATAATTGGCCAACAGTACGGTAATCCACCCATCCTACATCTGCAGATTTTGACTGATATGTACTTACATAATTTATGCGCCGTAAAAACTATAGGCATCAGGTCATTGCAATAAACAGGAAATGGGTCCCTCACAAAGTACATTCACTGCTTTCAAAGCCGCCAATCTCCCAGGATTAAAAACAACATCACATAGAGAATAAGTAGTCTTTATATTTCGTGAGAAAAGGGAGGATGGCAGCTGCACCTTTTCATATCTTTTAAAGGTGGAGTGTTTTTGTCTTAGTGAAACTCAACCGGTTGAATGGAATTTTATTGATCTGTTTTTATTGGCAGCATCCACCCGACTTCTGGGAATCAACAATACATCTACGCAGACTGAAAACAAAAAGGCCTTTTGTATCTGGCTTTGACCCACAAAAAGTATTTATTGTTATTGTATAACAGGTTTACGTTTGTTCTGGTCTTTAAACAAAATAAAGCTGTGCATACATTAAGAGACCTCTTCTGGTCCTCTTTTGGACAGGAAACAGGGTGCAATGTTTCAAAGATTCAGCAACAGTGTACAAATACGTTAAAAACGATTTCACACATGTGGTTTGTGGCTTTAATAATTGACACTATTTGCATTACACAACTCCTCTAAGATAATATAAGACAATAAAACTAATGTTTTTTATATATCAAGGGGAAATGTTACCAATTATCAAAGTTGCATAATGCAAAGTGCCGAAACATTTTCCCACTATGCATAATCAAATATAAACAGGTAAGGATCAGGCATGTCTGTACAAACTCTCCTCGAATCTGAATTTGATGTGGGTATAGTTAAATCGGTCTCTGAAAAAGGAATAAGCTAAGCTTGAAGCTCAGTACAACCTATTACATATTACATATAACTTATTATGAATGTTTATGTTAAGATGTAATGCTATCTCCACGACACTTTATTGATGCATTCATTTGTCCTTCTTCGGTTCACTGTTTACAGTCACATGTTGGTGTCGTGGATATTTTAAACTCGTCAATACTGTAAAGATGTACAATGAGAGTAATCAATAATAAACTGGTGAAACCAGGCAGCGTTGTCTTTT